AACCATTGGAGATGTTTAGAGGTCCAGTTATATATTGTATTTAGCTTTTTAAAGATATAATTTGGTGATACTGTATTTGAGAAAATCATTGCTTACACTGTGTCCATATTCTACGAATCACATCAAAGTCATTACATCAAGCATTCTGGCACTGCATTTCAATTTTTACAATCTCAACCTTGAGCAAAACAAATTGTAATGAAAAGCACAAGAGCGTTACAGGGGACATGTTACTGCTTTCGATTTCCTTTTTGATTTGTGTTTGGCATTTTCAGATTTAGGCTGCGAGCTGCATGTAGCTGTGCAGTGGAGGGGTCGAGCTCAGAGGCAGCACAGTGGCTCCAGACACCAGATGGAGGCAGCGATAGCGCAGGGGAAAGGTCCGACTTCTAACTGGAAATAGCAGCGAAGCTTATGTAAGATTTTGTCCGTGCAAACTGGAGCCCTTGCCATCATACTGATGATGGTGGAACAGTCACAGGCACTCCTCGTCTTCCTCGCCGTCACTTCACAGCAGCCACATTTGCAGATTTGGGTGAACGTGGAAGAAACAGCTTTGTTTGTGAACAAAGTGCAACACTGAGCTCAATTAAAATGTTTGATGAGAATCCTACCACAGTGGAGCCTGTTTATGTTTCAGTGATTTTTTTTACTGTGAGTTTCCACCAGTTTAATCAGCAACCACCTAAGGATGCATTTTATTTATCCTTGCAGTACCATTGGGGTTACACATATTTATGTGTGAGTGACAGCACAGATATCACACATAGCATCAGATGTCTCACCCCTGATGGGATTGTGTAACTGCAGCCATCAGTTACTACTGTGCCTAATATATTCCTCCAGCTAGAGAATGCATTTAACTGAACCCCCATGAATTGCAGTGTAACAAGATTAGGAGTCTAGCTCTGCTTCGAGCTAATGTCAGCATGCCGAGATGCTCTATAATGAAAATGCAGGTGGAATGTTTACCATGTTCACAATCTTTGTTTAGCGTTTTAGGATCCTAACATTTGCACAAACTGAGGCAGATGAGATTGTGATCAGTGTTGAACAAGTTATATATTGACACAAGTTAGAAAGTCAATAGGTCACCAAAATGATTACAGTTCACCTTGAATTGTATGTGAATGTGTCTGCCAAATGTCACAGTAATCCATCCAGTAGTCGTAGAGACGTTTCACCGTGAACCACAGATGTCTACAGCACGGTGGAGCTTGGAGAAAACAGGATCGTGTGGCGATAAGTCACGTTTTATTCTCTGGAGTGTGGGTGCAGGTTTCCTTAGAACACTGGGGAGGGAAACATCAAGCTGACAGTCTGAGCACGTTACACGTTACCTGCATTCTGCTGAAGTTTTATGCCCCTATTTGGGTTTTTTCCTGCATCAATTTATAGTGGAAATGTCTTTATGTGCAGGGAAAACACAGATTTCAGACACCATGCAAGATTGTTTGTACAGATTGTTTAAAAGTCCTATACAGAATTAATGACCTAACAATTGTTTTAGGTAGTATCCAAATAGTAATAAATTATATTTATTTCTCTTTTTTTCCTCAGAAAAATGACAGTAAATATCTGTAATTAGAAGTGGAGCGGTTTATGTCCACACCATGGAGCTGTTTGAAGTTTTTCTTTGTGCTTTTACGTAAATCTTATTAGTTTTATATTTATCTGTACTTTTGATTTTAAATCCTGCCTATGCATTTATGCAACTTTCTTCATGGCATCACTGACAACTTAAGTTTTAATGTTTCTGTGCAACTTTCTGCACCCAGTCAGTAAATAAAAGCACAAACATACGAATAAATCTGAAAAGTTTAGGCAGTAAAACTACAAATAATTTTGTTTTTGTAAACAGACAACAGCACACAAGGAAAGAGAATGGAATGAAACAAAACAGGAAATAAATATAATTAAAATGTCAAACCATGACATTTTCTGTTTTGCTTTCAAACATTTATTCTCCAGATTAACAGTTTATTTCATGTTTCCTCTGCTGAGTCACCACATACAAACCAGGCATGATTTAGTCTTCAGTCCTCTGCTGTACGTCTTGTTTGGTAAAGTAACCTAAAGGAACAAACGCTCGTGTTCTACGGGAAATGTTGATGGGAATCTGGGTGCCAGAAAAATGAAGAAACGCTAAAAAACAGCTCTGAAAACTACAAAAATAAAGGCATTATTATTATTTTAGCTGATTTAAATACAGAACAACAGTGTAATTTAGCAGCCACACATTATAAAACAACATTTTGCTATTTTTACAGATGTATTTGTCCTATTTTTTCTTGTTTTTTTGGTACAGTCAACATCTATCCACTATCTGTACACTGCTTTATCGTTGGATGGAGCCTACCTCAGCTGGCAGTCAACATGTAAATTCTTTTTATGTGATCTTGCTAAATATTGTTAAGAAAATCTGTACAAGAGGAGTTTAACAGTGATTTACCATTCTTCAGTTCTTATTATGCACCATGTTTCTTCAAATAATGGCAAATATCTATTGAAAAAAAAAAAAAAAAGTGTAATTTTCCAGTCCAACATTGTAAAAGAACAAATTACCATTTAGTTAACATTTTTAAATTCACAAGGTTACAGTTAAGAAACACTTTTCCAGCGTGTTTGTATTATCATCATTTTGCTGATTTTAAATGAAGCCTTGGTTTTCGTCCCTCCTCTGTCTACCTGCTGCTTCCTGCTGCCTCCATAAACATGACGTGGAGCCACATTATCATTTATTTTCAACATTAAGCCTGTACACATCTCTCCCAGTGGGATCTCTAAATCTCACAGATGTGACTTTTTTTATTTTATTTTTTGTTTCCCTCCCCAGCAGTGAAAAGGCTTCTCTCCAGTGAGAATAACTGACTCAATCGAAAACATCCCCGATAAGCTTGAAACTCTTCAACAACCTCATGTCACTGTCTCCCCAGTGAATCATATCACCTCACCCACGCCTTCTCTGTACTCGCTGCCGTTTGCGTCATCAGATAAACAAAGAAATAAATAATAAAAAACATCCAGTCAGTCAATCTTTTCTCTGTACATTTGATTTTCGTTCCTTCTTTTGGCACTTCTGGAAGTGTTGAGGAAACCATTTGGCTTTGCTCCCTTTTCATCGCGCTTAATGTTCAGCATCACTGACCTTCTCCTGAAGGATAAAATTATAACAGAGGCACTGAAAGATGTCTCGTGTTGCAATTCATCTTTTTTTAAAAGAATTTGTCTGAAAATTCACATTCAGCCGTTGAGATTCTTCTTTGTGCAGCTCTGCGGTTGCCACTCAGGATGTGCTGCAACCATCCTTTCTGCTTTTACACTAAAACGTGAACCTTGAGCATCACTTCGTATCCCAGGTGCTGCATGTTGATGCTGCTGAAGCTGCTGTTCGCTGTGCCTTTCCCTGCTGTTAATCAGAGAAGACCAGCTTCCTCCTGGGCGTCCTCCGGGGTGAAAGGTGGATGATTTGCTGTTAGAGTTGAGTGCGCCTGAGAAACACTGACAGCAGGCACAAACTGGAGGGAAATGTGGGATTTTCAGATTTCATTTGATTGCTGAATCATCCTGTTGATTGACACACGTCATATAACTGTGATGTCTGGGATGTTTGTGTATTTATTAGGAGGATCTCCATCATCTACCTTCATGTTAAGACATTCATGGAGACATCCTTATACAGCGCAGTGACCTGAAGGAGTCCTCTCTGGAAAAACAGACAAGACTCGTCTTATATTTTAGTTGTCTGAAGGAAATTTTGACTTTAATGAGCACAGTATTGTTTTATCAAGATTTTTAATTGCATGGTAGCTAAGACAGATGCAGGCATTTCTGTTATGTCAATTTTGCATTATTATTTTTTAAAAATTTGGGCATGTGTGCATTTGGATTTGCCATTTAATCATGTTGGTTGCTGTTTGTGTTAAGACTATTTTTAATAATTCAAAACATCAAGACAAAAACGTAGCTCACTGAATGTGTATTGTTGGCAAATTTGAAAAACAATGTGTATTAATATTCTTGCATTCTGCAAATTAAGTGCAAATAGTTAAGTTTCCTGTGCAAAACCTTTGTCTAAACGCAGTGGTAGATGTCTCATAGTGTACTTAATTGTAGGCTACATTTCAGAGAGATATATTGTACCTTAAAAAAGGCTTCAAGGACAGGAGACTAGTCAAGGGAAATTATCCAACATTTCACAAATGCAGCAAATATTAGAGAAATCCAATTTTTTTGTGCGGCAGAACTTTATTTTTATCCAGCCCCATTAATGGACTCACATGTCCTCAGATTTATATGTTGATACTGTTAAACATTTCAACCAAGAACAGCAACATCAGTCTAATAATGTCAGATATGGTTATCTATCAGGCACAGGTGGGCCACCTTCCTGCAGAACAGTCCAATATCATCACTAGAAGCATAACAACCTTTTGAACATGATGGGTTTTTTTTTTCCTGGAAATCAGCATGTTGTGGTCATTTCTGTGCACTGTAAAGAGCAGATCTCTTGTGCAAAGTCCTTCTCTAAATGTTAATGCTCCCAGATTTTTTTGATTGTGGAGAAGTGAAGAGACTTGGAGCGTCCAACAGATGGTGCTGATCTCTCTCTGCTCATCAAGAGTTGGGTGATAATTCAACAGTTATGTCATTAGGTGCCTGAGGAAGGAAAGCTGTCATGTTCACTGCTGCAGACCTGTCCTCTGCTTCTCCCACAACATTTCAGCCCCACTTCTTCCCGTCAGCTTCACCGTTTCATTTGCATCTCTCAGTTTGCCTCGTTTGAAGAGTTCTCCAGGCAGCTGCCACTTTACGCGCAGCCTCGATGTGCGTAGGCTTGCAAGAACTCCCATCCAACATGCACCTGAATAGGTGAGAGTTGCGCACACGCAAACAGGGAGAAACCACTTTTTTTTTTCTTTTTTCTTTTTCTTTTTCTTTTTTTAAGAGCGCGTATTTCTCTCCGGGAGTCCACTCCTCTTTGCCAGATCAACCCTCCGATGCAATTAACCCAGGAAGACGACTTCGTCAAGGGGGACTCAACGCCGACCACCGCAGCTCTCCAGTCCGACGGCAGCGCCGGTTCTCCGGCCAAAATGTGCAGTGAATGTTACGTGAATCAGTCATTTGTGAACGATGATGGAACCGTGAACAACCACAAACCACGGTAAGAGACACCAAACGCACAGGAACAAGTGAGGATGAGAACTTTACGCATCGTCTGTGACTAGTGATGTGCAACTTCTGGTTTTTTTGCACTTCATGTTTAGTTATCCTGAGAATAATCAGCTGCATGCTTTCTAGATGAGGGATTTCTTTAATAAAAACTTTAAAAATGTGAATAGTTGTGTTGTGCGGGGTGCTGGGTTTGCATAGTGTTTGCTTCATTCATACACTGTCTGCTCATCTCCTCCTGTCACCACTGTTGTGTGTTCAGCTGCTCACTGGCTGCTGTCTCAACTCTCAGTGTCAGGAAACTAAAACCATCATTATTAGAACTAATAATCTGAAATGCTACACTGGCTTCTGCACCTGTGTGTAAAAACAATCCCTCACATATTTCTTTATATATGTATTTTTTACTTATATATCTGTTTGTCATATTTGTGTTAAAAATGAAGCTCAACAGCCATCAAACTTCTCCCCCAACATGTTTTTCTGGATGCCTAAATAAGCTCCAGTGATGTCAGAGGGTTGCATAGGTTTGATTTGGTTAAATAGAAGGAATTCACTAAACCACATTAAAAAAAAAGAAACACACCCTTCATCAATTATGCACTAAATCTGACGATGTTTAATGAAGCAGTGATGGAGAGAAGAGGTGAGACGTGTTTGATTCTCTTCTGCACTCACAGTTTATCCTGCATCTCTGAAACACTGGAAACAGCGTCTTCACACCAAGCTGCTTCATTCAGATCATCGCCGCGGTGTGTGTAATATCTCATCAAAGGACGCATTACAAAACAATGATGTGAAAAAAGATCTTTGCAAGCAGCTGATGATTTAACAAACAGGCTTATTAGAAATGACCTTGTAATCCCTCAAAGACACTCATCCACGCTGTGATATCAAAACACTGAGGCATAAATCAAACCATTCGCTTAACTCTGGGGTTTCTAATTCATCTTCATCCCTTCAAGCGATCGACATCAGTTCATCTTCCCACATCTTCTCCTCCCGGGGCCCAAGGTAACATCCCACAATACTGTTTTCCCCCCTTTTTGCATGTTACTCAGCCTCTGATCGAATAAGGCAGCATCAGGGAGCGTCTGCAGGCATTCAGAAAACCTAACAGTGGTAGAAACCTAAATTTTTTTATGCTTTGAGGTCAAGATTAATCTAAGCCATGAATCTGTCATTACTATGTAGGATTAGTGCTTCAAGCATGTGTTGAAACCAGTGGTGGAAGAAGTACTTGGATCCTCAATGCAACAAATGCACCGTTACAAAATGAAAGTCCTGCATCCAGAGGGGTTGTGCAGCCTTCCAAAGAGTCTCACGGTAAATCTGGTGGGTTGTGGCAGCATCAGTGAGAGTTGCAAAGAAGAAGAAATGCACTTTCCAGCACTGGTTGCAACCTTCCCACACCAAAATGAATGGTAGACGTGGTGGACACTGAATCTCAGTCTGCTCTGAACCTTCATTTCTGGCTCCTTATCTTATCATCTGAAGCAAAAAGAGTGTCTTTCTATTTCACAGAACTACCTGTAACAAACACTAGGTTTCTGTTAATCAAAGTAACTCCATCAAATGAAGTTTTTGACTTGAAGAAAATACATTGTTCACTCTTCTATCATCTAATTGCGCTGTAAGAAGCACAGCCTCCACTTGAATGCATGCAAACATCTGCTTACATGCTTCAATGATCGCACACAGTCCTGCAGTTAGTATGCATGCTTTGAGAAGAACATACGCTGGCTGGCTCGTTACAGAAGCTGCAAACAGTCAGCTGCTGGAGATCTGGACTTTCTGGACTTTGCTGCGACAAATTTGTGACAGAACATATGTTTCTGTTCTCTTTTCTCCTCCCCATATCTGTGTGCATTCCTGTAAAACTCCACCACCTGCGCTTTTCCACCCCACGTTTCCTTTCCTTGCCTCCTCTCCTTCTACTCATGCATCGTCTTCACCATTGCCTGTCCTTTCCAACTCCTTTCACTTTTGCACAACTCTCACTTCATTTGCCTTTCCACCTGTTTACGTCTCTCTTTTCTCTCCCCTCCAGCTCTTCTCCAGCACCAGCCCAGACCAACAGAAACAGCAGAAGCAGCAGCAGCGGGGTAATCTTGGACATCTCCACCCTTAAGATGGAGCAGCTCGAGAGCGAGGTGCCTCCACTGCCGCCCCGCTTTCGCTTCAGAGACCTGCTGCTCGGGGACCAGGGCTTCCCGAACGATGACAGGTAGGACGGTGGAAAGTTTAACTCACAGAAAGTGGGCTGAGAAGTGCTGTTTGACGTGCTCAGACAGAAACTTAGGATAGGCTCATGGGGAATTATTGGTTTCAGTGATGGTCAAAGCTAAAAAAATCCTATAAAGTTTTGAGAGACATTCCAGATTTTGATGATTAAATATCAACAAAATACTGTGAATGTTCAATAATCTTCTAGTTCAAGGGTCTTCCCGTCAAACGTTCTGCCAAACAGAGCTGTCAGATGAGCTTGAATGTCATCAACACCACCATTTATTCCAACAGGCAGTGTTGATGGCCTGTCCATTACCTTCAGCTAATTATTTGAACTATTTATTCATTATTTTAGCAATTACTCCATTTGCATTCATCACTTGCAGCCATCTGTTTTAATACTTCAAGCATAAGATGACTATTCTAACTTTTTCTGTGTTACTTTTAGCAGCTATACCACTTATCCATTACCTCTAACTGACTGTTATGCCTCATTATTTCCAATATTTGTCCCTGTTTATTATCTAATTTGGGCATTTTCACCATCTGTCCATTACTTCAGCTGTTTATTCCTGTCTGCAGATTAAATTTAACCATATTTCACCATTAATTTTTTACTTTTAGCTGTCAAATCCAGCCATTTGTGCATCAATTCAAGCTATTTTAACAGTTATCCATTGATGTCACCTAACTGTTCAAGGTATTTGTCTATTAAATGTAGTTATTTGGGCCTTTCCCCCCCTTTATTCCAGCTGTTTGCCCCTGTTTACCATCAATTCAAGCTATTTCACTATTTCTCCATTGCTTTTTCGTACCAGTAATATATCACTATTTCAGGTGTTTGTCCACTAAACTGAGATATTTGGCCATTTATCTGTTAGTTCTGGCTACCTGTTACATAACTGTTAGCTAACATCTCTGCTCACGGCCAATTTCCATTCTCAACAAACATTTAGTGAAGGTTGTTTTTGATTAAATTTGTTACATTTCCAGGTTTTTCAAATTAAATGTGCAACTTCTGTAATGCGTCCATGTACCGTACTCAGTGACTGATTAGTAATCTGCAACTATTCTGAGTAAATTTAAACAAAAAAAATGAACAAAATGTGCTTCTTCTATCCTTTCAAATGTGAATATTTGGATATTTTATTCAGAATATGATAGTAAATTGATTACTTTTAGGTTTTGGACTGTTCGTCATAATATATGTATGTTTATCTGAGGATGAGGATGAGACAGTGATGGTCTTTGAAGCTATTTGCTACCTTTTATCTCTAAGTTATTTGGGGGTTTTTGGACTGTTTTCATCTGGCATATGGAAACAACATTTTATTTTGACCAGCTACACAGATGCTTTGACTTCATTCCAGCTCTCTTTGTTGTCTTGTGTTGCTTTTAGTGACCAAACTTACTGATTACAAGACTTTTTTTTTTTTTTTTGCAACTTCCAAATGCAACTGATTGGCCCTGAACCCACTTGATCCACCTCCGTTGCACTGTTTATAGTTACATCAGGGTTATTGTTTATAGAGTGTTTACCTTGTTTACCCCCTGCATATATACAAGTGCAGTTAGAAGTGTTTTTCTTTTCCAGTATAAGTGCTTGTTTTGGATTTTTGGGGCGATTAAGTAAGTCAGAAACACGGCAGAGTCTGTGGTGCTGTCCATGGTGCTGAAAAGCAGTGAGGTTCCTGAAGTTTTGTACTTAGGAGTTTGCGAAGTAGTCTAGGTGTGTGTGTGCTGAAAGTAGTTTGACTTGAAACACATTTTCTTCAACAATATTGTGACCTGATTCACAATCAGAATTTAAAATGAGATCTCGCCGTCCGCTCCTGTTTCCTACCTCTCCTCTTCCACACTTCCCCTCCGCCGCCTTCAGCTCTGTGCTCTGCTGCAGCATCTCAGTTTGATAGACGAGATCAATAGCAGTCTACCTCTGTTTTCCTGATATCTGCTTCGTTTGTTTTTGTCCTGAGACTCAAAACTGTGCTCCAGCAACGATTAAGAGAGCTTCTCCTTCTAAAGTCTAAAACAAAGCGGCAAAAAATAACTTGAAAAAGAAAAGCATGTGTCCTTTATCTGTTGTTGAAGAGTCCTGACGTTCATAATCTAGAGGAATCAGTTACACACTATACATCTGCTTTTCTTCAACATGTTTATTCAACACATTACCTGGGATTCTTCAGATGAACAGTGATGATCACATGCATTTTTAGATGTGATTACAGCAGCAGCAAACCTCTAAAGCCGCTGTGCTGCTTCTAATATTTGCTATATTTTATCTGATGAGGAAAAACAACAAGCTCTGCCAATGCTTTTAGTCAACGTTGACCTTTTCCCCAGCTGTCCTGGCAACAATCGCTGTTTTCTCCTCGATAATGCTGCCTACATTTTCAGCTCCTATTTAGACAATTATCATTTTTTCTGTTCCATCCCTACAAGCGAACCCGTCTTCCTGTCCCCAGCAGATAGTGTCGTTGGGAGTGACTGATGCTCCAGGTTAGATTCTCGGTGCTCGTCCTGCGGGGCCCTGTGTTCAGCCGCTTTGCCTCTGAACTCGCAAATGTCACTGGTCACATCTGTCCAGGGATCATCTATCACTCAAAGGTTCCTTTTCTCAGCGGCAGACATTCACAAGAAAAAGCACACAAGTGTACACACACGGTATCGACAAAATATCAGCCCTAATTGCAGTGCTTGTAAATGATTGCCTTCTGTCTCCAGTGCCTTCATTATTCCCACCTAAGTGAAGCCCCCTGTGTGCTAAACTTAGCGATTTATAAATGAAGAACAAATAGGGAGAAAATGTCACATACTTTACAGGCAGAAGTTGTGCCGTAAAGGTGCTCGCAATGGAACTCGGAGAGCCACAACTGAGTGGCTGTGGCGGTGTGCGTGGGCGAAAAGGGTTCAAGTGGAGTGGCCTCTTCCGGTGTTTTCAAAAGCACTGACTCACGGGAGAGGTCATCTATAAATTAGAGCTTCAGACTCTTCAAATTTAGAGAAGACAAAAAGGTGGGGGACACGGAGGAAAGAGTGACATGGAAACAGAGCCGTCCTCTTGTTTTTCTTTATGCAGATCCAAAGAAAAGCATCTATCTGTCTTGTTTCCGTCACTTGTCATGTCAAAACCTGCTGCTTCCACATCATCACTGTAACCTGGACCAGCACCGATCCAACTTGTGTTACTTTCTCTTGACAGAAGAGCAAAAAAGAAAAATAGAACACTAAGCAGCACATCTTTTGGGGCTTTATTGGTGTAAATGAATCCTGAAGACTCCATTTGAAACACCTAGAATACTGCTTTTGATAAATGCCAGCTAAATACAAATGATTATTGTGCAGCTGACATTCCTCTACTGTGTCACAGTGAATATTTGCAGCTTTGCCAGAGCTGCAGTGCTGCAGGAGAGGACCAGGCTGCAGCAGCATCAGTCAGGGTTATTCCTGTCATAGCAACGTTGCTGTGGCAACAGGCCCGCGCACGAGAAGATGAAAAAAAAAAAGAGAGAGCGATTGTATACATTTCTAAAAATATTCCAATAAGCTCCCACATTCCTCAAAATAAATGATAAATCAAACAGATCTTTGTCCATGATTTCTCATCTTTGAAGGTTTTAGTCAGCGAGTTTGTTCTTCTTCTTTTTTTTTTAACCATCAAAGCTCAAAAAGATTTCATCCACCGACTCTTAGTGCTGGGTTATTTTAGAGCTGCAGGGAGGCGCGTTGGTCAACAAGCGCCTTCCACTGTAGGAATTAAAGAGCGGCTGCACGACGCAGCTACAGGTGTCCAGCACGATGAATCCGGAGATCCTCATCATCCCCACCTGGGTCAGTCCGACTGTGGGCGCTTGGAGGTCGGACGCTTTCGGTAGTGACGCCGGGCAGAGGTAGGGCCACATGGAACAGGTGGCGAGTTTTACGCGTAGGTGCGCACGATGTCCTGATGTGAGCGGAGGTGAGCTGGGCGCGCTGATTGGGAGGAAGGGTCACGACACTGTGTGGCGGGGGTGTTGTTTTTTTTTTAATTCCGAAGATGGGACAAATCGCAGTCGTGCTGTGTATTGACACGTGAACAAGGGAAAACGTGCACAACTCTGTGTTTTTGATAAGCGCGCCGAAAAACCGCTGAGACGCACAGAACTGGCTACCTGATGGAAGTCACTCAAAGACACACCTGTTACTGAATTATTTATGTTATTTGTAATTATTTGGATATTTAAATTATGCATTTTTTGCGACCAAAAACATCTAACAGCAAGGTGGAAGAACTGAGAAGCCACAGCCAGTAAATGTTTGGAGATTTAAAATGATCGATTTTCTTTTTGGTTGTTGTTGATTAATCGACTAAATGTTTTACACATCCTCTAAAATGTTTCTATGTTGCAGCCAGTCGTTCTTTTCATCATCAATTTCTTCAGTTTTCAGCCACAGGAGAGACAAAAACATTAAATTCTCCCAAGTGAGACTCTAAACTGCGATATTTGGACATAAACTGTTCATCCACTAATTTTTTGTCCACCGACCAGAACTTTTCTACACTCAGAAACACAGGTTTCCTCTGCTGATGAGGAACACCTCGAGGTGACCTGGTCTGATAAAAGACTATTACAGAGCTGCGCGATGATTGCACTTTTCAAAAAAAAACTTGCTCTGTCGCAATTAGTCGTTTTTTAAAAGATCTAATTACTCCCAGAGCTGCGCGTCTTATTGCCTGAAACTCCGCCGTGACACCGCAGTATGACTAATGTCAGAGCACTTCACATAGTAATTGTGTGCTCAACAGGAGCTGATTAAGGGTCATTACTTGCACCATTATGTGCGTGTGTACGTGTGTGGGTGGAGGGCTGAGACAGACAGACAGCCAGACAGACAGTAGGACTCTCATATGTGACAGTCAGCTGAAGTGTTTCTACCTCCAGAGCTCATCTCTGTCCAGATGTTGCAGCTGTTTTTCCAGATCTCACTGCAGACAGTCTCTCTGTTCCATCTGTGAGGCTTTTTTTTCTTCATTTTGGCCACTCTTAGGTGCAGTTTAGCATCGTGCAGACCTGAAATAGCAGCACCAAAAGGTTTCTGTGCATCTAACATCCCACACTGCCCACTTTTTTTTTTTTCCATTTTTATTTCTAACTTCCCACTGTGATTATTTCAGCCACAAGCCAAAACCTGAGATTAATGCAGCAACGCAGCCAACAAGCTTTCAGCCCCTCTAAAGTTCCTCTAATCTCTTTTACTTGCACTTTCTCCTTTCATTCCTTCCCGTCTGCAGTTTTCTTCTGAAATCTGTGAAGATTATACATTAACGGTGTAAAGATTCTGCTTCTTGTGTTGCCAAGTTACCAACCAAAGGAGTTTGGCTTCTTCTCTCTGACTTTCATCTGTCTCTGCTTTTTGTGCTTTGCAAATTGCAAATGAAGTGTTCTTGCACAATTTATTCCTTTTCTTTGTTTTTTTTTTTCAACCAAAGTTATTCCTTCTTGCTCATTTAAAACCAGTCTTATGTGTTTTGCTGTATCTGTTACCAAAACAATCAGTGTGTGCACCAAACGTATTTTGATTGGTTAATTTTACCTTTATTCTTTATTACAACAGCAAAGTTTGGGTTCACCTGCCTTCCTCTTTATTCTGAAATCGCACACAGGCGAAACACCTCAAACCTGGGATTAGAATCATTCATTTTGTTTTGATATGATTATAAGTAATTATTAAATAATAGCGCTCACTTGCAGCATGATGAAGTATTGGCAGGCTGTGAGGAGATAATCGCTCCTGTTAGATGGGGGATGATGTTGCAGAGAATTTAAAATTAAAAACAGAAAATGAAAAAGAAAAATGGCATTTTAGAATGCAGGATAAACATTGTTAAGAAAAATGTGCATTAAAAAAGAACTTAGATACTGAAATGATCAATATTGTGAAATTAATGGATTGAAATTGCAAAAAAAAAAAGAGAAAAAAAAAGAAATTGAACAACAAACACATAAATTTTAATTTGTAAATAAGAAACTTAAATGCAAAATAATGACAAAAATTGCTAATTGAAATGAATTTTTGAAATATTTTGTATTTAAGAACATTTGAAAGAGAAAATGCATTACTATAAAGTTATATTTTTTTCAGAATTTTCCTTTCTACTGCATTTTCTATTTTCAATTAAATGTTTTTAATTAGGGCTGCAAGGTGGTGCAGTTGGTAGCACTGTTGCCTTACAGCAAGAAGGTTGCCGGTTCGAATCTTTCTGCGTGGAGTTTGCATGTTCTCCCTGTGCAGCGTGGGTTCTCTCCGGGTTCTCCGGCTTCCTCCCACACAGTCCAAAAACATGTTGAGGTTAATTGGTGATTCTAAATTGTCCGTAGGTGTGACTGTGAGTGTGCTTGGTTGTCTGTCTCTAAGTGTGGCCCTGCGATGGACTGGCGACCTGTCCAGGGTGTCCCCTGCCTTCGCCCTAAGTCAGCTGGGATAGACTCCAGCCCCCCCGCGACCCTAGTGAGGATTAAGCGGTGTATAGAAAATGGATGGATGGATGTTTTTAATTAGTCTTTTCAAGCTGCATGTAAGAAACTAGAGAAAAGTTGCTCTTTCATTATATCAGGTTGTCAGGTTAATATTCCTTTTAAACATTTAATTCCAACCTTATTATCTTGCATACTCAAATAATATAATGTCTTTACTGTTTCCCTCCTTTAGCTTCATGTCAGAGCAGCTGCTCTCTGGTTCAGGCTGCTGGGCCTACCGTAATCCCGCCTTGTGATTGGAGACAAAATCAGAGACAGATAATTGCCTCGCTCTCCTCAGGCAGATGATTGGGAAAACAAAAAAAGAAAAAACAGCATTATGAATATTCATGTTGTGCAAAATCTCTGCGTCGGAACACATCTGCCGCGACTCCGTCTGCTTCCTGTCTGACACTTCGTCTCCTTCTGTTCCCTGTCAGGGTGCAGGTCGAGTTTTACGTGAATGAAAACACCTTCAAGGAGCGCCTGAAGCTTTTCTTTATCAAAAACCAAAGATCAAGTAAGTGGATGGCATCTTCTCGCATCCCTAAATTGGCTGTTGCGTAATCGAGAAGAGCCATTAAAAGACATGACAAATAAACTCAGACACTTGTGCCTAATTAGGCTCAGATGCATCCAGGAAAACACAACATCAATGGAAAATCCCACAAATTTCTTGCATAGCAGTTATCAATTACACTTTGTTGAACTTAATGTAAATGTACTCAGAGCGCTTAAACACATAATTGCTGCTTTTATCTCAGAATAAATGATGTTTTTGCTGCTTTGCTGCGGAAATGCTGAGATCAGCACATATTTTTAATAAGAAAACATGTCCCCCTCTCTTTCCTTTAGGCCTCAGGATCCGTGTGTTCAACTTCTGCCTGAAGCTGCTCACCTGTCTGCTGTACATCATCCGAGTGATGACGGATAACCCCGTTCAGAGCACCGCCGCCTCCCACAGCACCGGACAGCAAAACGCTCCCAGTGGCAACAACAAATGGTTTGTTTATACTAAGAGAAAAAATGTCTGAGTCATGTCGATAACTATTTTCGGTGCATTATCATGCAAAAATGTCTCAACACAATTTGCAACAAACAATGAAAACAAAGAAACGAACATACAGTACAAGTAATTATTCAAAGGAAAACAATAAATCGTAGAGATGAAACACTGAAAACAATGGCGATAAAATTTCAAGAACCCCTTGCTTTCCCTTTGTTAATATGTCCATATGATGTTTTTTTATATGCTAGAAGACATATCATCAAAAAAAAAAGACAAAACAACAGCGGAGAAGATTTTTTAACCTGAAAAAGCAAAAGAAGCCCAAAAACTCCAAACGTTCAACAGGAAAAAACTGATTAAACCAAGCTGTCGTTGCAGGACAGAGCTTTCCGTATCATTCTTCTTCTTCAGAATCAGATTCCAGGTCAAACAAGTATCACCAAATCACTCCAATATTCCAATTTGCCATTGTGTAGCACTGAAAAGTTTTTGAGCAGAATTGTAGGTGAGCTGGTGTGCTCGAGCTGCAGCGAGTCCTGGAGGTGTGGATGGAGGAAAAAAAGGAAATTCATAGATTTGAACATTCTAGGAGGTGCAGAGTTACATCTAGAGGAGGAGATTATTTTAATAGAAAATGGTGATTTTGATGCACAGAGACGAGCTTTTAGGGGTTTAGAGGGACTTTAAAACAAACGCAGGTGTTGAAACAAACCAGTTCAGGTGTCTGTGCAGCATATTATTGGACAGGTCAGCAGGTGGCTCTGTAATTGGTGGGAGGACGGTTCCACAGGTAGAGGCCACAGTGTGTGTGAAGAAAAGTTCACGGTTCACATGAATTACAGCAACAACAGTCCCCCTTTAGTGTCCTTTTAGTTCATTTAATGGCAGCATGTCAGGAGCCAGCCAGCTTCTTTTAGTGGTTAACGCTATACTGGCTTGTTCACTTCATTCTGCCTGTTTGGTGGATGCGTTTGGGATGAAAGTCATCTTTTTGGCCGAGAAGATGTCCAGCTTTACGACTATTTAATTCATTTTGCTGAATTGGCATGAGCAAATCTATTCAAACCGCAGACAACACCACCGCTGTTAACTTTTAATCCCCTGTCGTTTTATTGTGCTTTCCTCACCACGATCACTACCCTGCAGTGTCGACTGCCTGTGGAACGGATCAGTGCAGGACAGAGAAATAAACTGGTAAGCAGCAGAAGGTGTGATTCCTGTGAATAGCGCCTCTTTCAGCTCTCTGTTTGGTCTATTGCCTCATTTCTTGCACTCACCTTATTAGCTAATCTGGCATGCGGTTAGTGTTTTCATCATCAGACGCAGCCTATTGTGAGCGCTTATGTAAAGATAACATGTATTTATCTCACATCATCAGTGATTGCAGACACGCGAATGTTACTGCAGTTCGTCTCTGATCTGGAGGGTGTTAACTGGTGAATGTGGTACTAATGCTGCTGCTGTGTGATCTCTCTGTCAGGGGGTTGATCTTCTGGGTGGATAGGAAGGTTCCTGTCTGGGCCATTCAAGTGAGTCAATGCAGAATAAATAAGCAAAAGTGAAGTACGTCAACTTGGATGCGTGTTTCAGATGACGCCACTGATGTGAACTACACGTGTTTGACCATCGCAGTGCGTTTCATTCTCAGATTATTTCTGCTGTAACGACTTTGTGTGTGTCATTTCTTGCTCCACAGGTGATTGTGGCCATCATTAGTTTCCTGGAGACTATGTTGCTCATGTATCTGAGCTACAAGGTGAGACACACACACCGAAAGAAAGGAAACACACACTGCCTTCCAACATGATTAATGCATTCTGTACAATTAATCACTTACAATCTTGGAGATTGACAATCCATAAGTGGTGTAATTAGCCCGAGTCAGTTGTCACGGCTACATTAAGGATAGACGGTAATTGCAGGAACTGGTTGAGGTGAAGGAATAAGTGGTTGTGGAAGGTGACAGACGAGCATGAAAAAATTGATTTTCTGCAGTGACTCACTGTCTATTGTGTGCTTGCAGATGAAGCTGTTAAAAGTCTTTTTTTTTTTTTAACTTTCAGGGGAACATTTGGGAGCAGATTTTCCAGGTGTCTTTTCTTCTGGAGATGATCAACACTGTTCCCTTCATCATTACGGTAAAACTTTTACCATGGCAACACTGAAATGTTCATTATCTTTCCTATCTAGAATGTGTGTTAGTTTGTCACTCTCGCTGTTGTTATTGTCGCAATAAATCATTCTGATGTTGCCTGATTTGACTCTGACTGTCTGTTTTGTTGTTTAGCATCATGCATTAGTGGGGAAACGTTCCCCTCTGGGGATTAATATAGTCATCTAATCTAACCATATCTCCCATTGGCTGATAAATACTGTCAGCTTTGAGGAGATGTTTGCAACAAATGTCTACTTTTTTTCCAAATGTGTCCAGTGTCAGTGTTCAAAGATAGCACTCAATAATAGGAGCGAGTCATGAATGTCAGAGCAATCATGGATCGAGAACAGTGAATCGTGCACATTTAGAAATGAACTAGAAACAGCTCTGCATCACATTTGTTTGTGGTGTTAAGTGATGCACAGGCCTCTTGGGATTTCACCATCAGTCAGTCAACCGCTGTTGTCCAGACTAAAATAGCTCAACAACTACTGGCTAGATTACAGCGAAATGTTGTGTGGACCTTCATCCCCAGAGATAAAACCTCCGAAGAGATAAAACCTCCCCAGAGGTGTCTCAGATCCAGAGGAAAATCCAGTGCCACCATGAGTTCATGTTTTTGTTTTTTAGTAGGTGTCTCAGAAATGGAGCGGTGCACTCAATCATTCCCCCGTCAGAATCAACTGCATTCAGTTTTGTGTTCTATTAAATTTTTCTGTAAATTTTCTATAACTTGATAGATTGTTTGGTTCGTGATAAAATACCTGCAAAACTATCAACAAATGGCAATCCCATCAGCCTCTACTGAGCTTTGTGCTCATGTTAGAGAGCTAATACACTAAATAAGATGTTGTTTCGTTGTTTTTTGCATGTTAGCAGTGTCACAAAGTCAAAGTCTTCGGGCCTTTAAGCCGTTCCAACCTGGAGGTCCCTGGATCAGGCTGTTTCTGCTTTTTCAAAACACAACCTGATGCCATTTTTCCAGTGTTACTGAGTGTAACACATTCACCGAAGAGGCTTACTGCAATTATTGAAATGGATGTAGCATTTGTTGTGCTTCCTTTCTGCTCCATAAAATTTGAGACTTTTTAGATCAGTGTTTACTGACTCGTTATATGTCTGCTTCTTACTCTGTAATTTACAGTTTGGATCAGAGGAGAAGTAAAAATGCCAAGTTCTTCACATCTCACTCTGACCTTTCGATGGGGGACAAATATAATTACTGTAATTTAAAATTCTCCTAAATGTAAGAGTTCAGTTTGGTCTTATGGTTTTGGAGTTGTTACTGACTGATTTTGTTTTTTCTAGTGGAAATGTAATGATAACAGCCCCACAGTGTTAACTTAGCACTCCTGGACATACAAGTAGATGACTGAGAATCTTCACAGACACACTGGGAGCATGTTAGACCTGAACTACGGCCTTCCTTCATAACCTTGTTTCAATATTAATGCAATGTTACCCCTTCGGAATAGCAACCATAAAATGCACAGAAAGTCCAACTTGAGCTGCTGAACACATTTAAAATGACCAGCAGCCACAGACTGAACCTGCTGGGTGTTAAAATGTTAGATAATAATAGAAAGTTCCATTTTGTACAGGTGAAACATCAAAGCTACAATAACTTCTATTGAAAACTCTCTTTTACTTTCTCCTCAGATCTTCTGGCCCTCAATAAGGAACATCTTCATTCCTGTGTTTCTCAACTGCTGGCTGGCTAAATGCGCTCTGGAGAACATGATCGTGAGTCAGAACCATAAACGTAATTGGGTCTGTTAATGACCTGTTTTTAATCAACATTTTAATGACTTTGTTAAGGCATCGCATTTTACTGCGCTACTTGATGGAGGTATTGACAACAACACGCGCTTCTCCTGCTTTCGTTCTGCTCTGTTTGCCTGCGCTCTGTAGGACGCTCGCTCGGGGATTATTGCAGCGCCGACTGCATTTTATCATGTTGTTCAGTCTTTCATGCTGTTATGCTGCAGCGGGGAGCATCTGAGAGCAGAACCATTTGCAGTAGCGAAGCTGGTTTATGATTGAATTCAACTTTTGATAGACGCGGGTTTAATGTTCGTGTTGGGTTTGTGCTTTCCTGAGTTTTCAGCTTCAGGTAATAAAGTGTGCTGTTTCTTGCGGTGCAGAATGATGTGCACAGAGCCATCCAGAGGACCAACTCAGCCATGTTCAACCAAGTCCTCATTCTCATCTGCACCCTGCTCTGCCTCGTCTTCACTGGGTGAGGCGGCTTCTGCAGATTCACACCTGTTTAAGATCATTCCTTAATGCAGGGGTGCCCAATCCTGGTCCTCGAGAGCCCCAACACACCTGATTCAAATGATCAGCTCATCATCAAGCTCTGCAGAAGCCTGATCCTGATCATATGAATCAGGTGTGTTGGAAGAGGGAAACATCTAAAACATGCTGGATAGGGGCTATCGAGGATCAGGATTGGGCACCCCTGCCTTAGTGCGAATGACATATTCAACTTTTCTGTGCATGTATTCAAATTAAAAGCTTAGATGCAAAGAATACAGGAAACAGAGTGATCAGCATATAACCAGGATTATATAACTAGTTAACAAAAACAAATAACTATAAGATTAAAGTCCAACTGCATTGCCAGCACTTGATTACATCTGATTGTGTCTTTAAAATATTTTGAAATGCTAAAACTTTTTGCATGATGACCAACGCTTCAACTCATAATAAGCACTTCTGATACATAAAGGTTTCTTAGACAACTGCTCCACTTGTGGGGGAAAAATGTGAACAGTGATGAGTCATGATAGAGGGTTACTGCAGCAGCAGTTCTTCAAAATTCATTTCTGGTAATATCACCTTTAATTAAAAAGCAGAAGCAACAAAAACGTACACAGAAGAAACAGCATCCCACATGGGGAAGAGTAGAAAGAGCACACCTGTAGTTTACCAGTTGATCTGGTCGAAATGTAAAGTGCTTTTAATTTGTGCTGAGGGGATCTCAAAATGTTATGGCTCCTTCTATTTTCTTTTTTTTTCTCACATAAGATGCAGTATTTTAAATGTTTGATTCTGAAGTAATCCAGAAATGTTGAGATTAGATTACACTTTTTTGAAATCAAATGATTTAAATCAGTAACACTTTTAGTATAGTGATGTTTAATGTCACCTGTTAACCAAACAACCCAGGTGGGACTTGAACCCACAATCCCCAGCTCCAGAGGCTGATACCTTATCCATTAGGCCACTGGGTCATTCTTTTAACATAGCATTCAATATGTAATCTGAATGCATTTACTTGCTTTCAGCGACTTTTAAGTTGTTGGCAAGTTCACTGCAGGTCAGTTGAAAATGAAAAAATGTCATATTTATCTCGGTGCAGTCATGTAAATGGAGCAGCCCTTTCTCAGAAATTCCTCTGGAAATTGGTAATAAACTCAACACAATTAAACGGACTAATTAAAATGACAGCCTCAGAGCTTTGTCTTGGTTTCAGTGTATCTAGTGGCAAATTAAATTCCCGGGAAACTTTTAAAATACATTCAGGGAACTATTACTAAATAATGGACCTATTAAATAAAGTGTGGCTATAATGATGAATAGAGACGGAAAGGGAATAGACAAACCGGTTGTGACAACTTGATGAAAGAAAGAAGCTCAGAAGAATAGTAAATTTAATTACCACGTTATTAGGCGGTAATTCAATTATAAAAATGACTGCAGGCACAGGATGTCAACTCAAGCACATTTTATTCATGCAGCCCAAAGTTTTTATTTTACAGCTTTGTATTTAATCTAAACTCCATTTTTATTATTTAAAGAACTGTATTAACTATTAATATATTCACCTTAGGGGCTTCCTGTCTTTGTTACTTCTGGTCTCCGTGTTCAGGTTCATAACAAGTGAAACACTGCAGACAATAATTCCGACTTTGTGGATGTTTGTTTACATTATTTTTCTTTATGACACAGCACATGTGGGATTCAGCACCTGGAGCGAGCAGGCAAGAACCTTTCCCTCTTCAATTCCTTCTACTTCTGCATCGTCACTTTTTCCACCGTGGGCTTCGGAGACGTGACTCCTCGCATATGGCCGTCCCAGCTGCTGGTAGTCATCATGATCTGTGTGGCTCTGGTGGTGCTGCCTCTGCAGGTAGGAAGAAAAAAAAAACTTTCGGAAATTTAGACTTTTCCTCTGTGAGTTTCAATCTAACACCTCCGGTTGTGTGTCAGTTTGAGGAGCTCATCTACCTGTGGATGGAGAGACAAAAGTCTGGAGGGAATTACAGCCGCCACAGAGCCCAGACAGAGAAACATGTAGTGCTGTGTGTCAGCTCACTCAAAATAGACCTGCTCATGGATTTCCTCAATGAATTCTACGCACATCCCAGACTTCAGGTAGAACACAACACTAAATACACACCTGCACGTTGTGTCTCTAAGGATATTTAAAAAGAGATACCTCTTACTAACACAGCAACAGAGAAGCGTCTCCACTGTGCCTCGAGATTCTGATGCACTTCTTGTATAATCTTTAAGGATTACTATGTGGTGATCCTGTGCCCGAGCGAAATGGATCTGCAGGTTCGAAGGGTGCTGCAGATCCCCCTGTGGTCTCAAAGAGTCATTTATCTGCAAGGATCTGTCCTCAAAGACCAGGATCTGCTGAGAGCAAAGTAAGTGGCAGATCCTAAACTTTTGTATGATATGTGATGGTGAATTCTCCAACTAGTTTGGGTATTTTACCATTACATGTTCCGATTCTGCACCACAACAAAGTGCCGCTTAAGTCTTCCCTAAAACTTTAAATGTTGTCTGAGCTACAATTATTATTTTTTTTATGAGTCTGTCTCTTAAAACAGAAACATTTTGACAGATACGATACGATACGATACGATACGACATGATACGGTACGATACGATACGATACGATAGGATACGATACGATACGATACGATACGATATGATACGATACGATACGATACGATACGATATGCCTTTACTTTTCCCACAGTGAGGAAGTTTGCATTGTAACAACAGCAAAGGAGATAGTGTAAACATTTAGAAAATCTCAGCAAACAAATTTAAAAAAACATACATAAATACTAGTTCACATTGTCCAAACTCCTCTGGATGAAAATTGCAATACTCCCCATATTAATGGCACAGACTCATTCATGAGTTGAAATATACTCATTGAAAAATGTTTATTTTGCATAGATTTTATGTATATTTCACAGATTTGTGTGAACATAGAAAAATACCAATATTGTACAGATTCTAATATATGTAGAAAAAATGATATTGCACAGAGCTTTGTTGCTGTTATACACCTGCTCCAAACAGGCTTTTAGATTTGTTTCCATACTTGTATTCTTAGAATTTTGGTTCGGTTGGTTGCGGCTGAATCAAATGATTTCCTGGTTGCAGAAAGTACTGTAGAATTCTTTGTTGTTTTTTGTTTTGCTTTTTACAGAATTCTGTTAGAGCCCTACAGTTTATTTCTGGGGGCATTTTTTTTAGTGAGACACACAATAAAGTGATTTTGATGAAATAACACAATTTTCTGCTAAGATTTGGTTGATTTTCTCAGTGAAACGACATGTTACAGAGGAGCAGTCTAAGAGTGTCGGAAGATTGAATATACAATGATTCTTTCTAAAAAATAAACACTAGAAAAAGCGTCATTTTTGGTATTTTTTAAAAAAGAAAAGAAAACATGCTCTCCTTTTGGGTTCAGAAGGTTAATTTGTTGGTTAGCTTATTTAATTTCTTTTATTCGTGGGCATCAGCTATGTAGTGTTTGGTGTGGATGTTGGGAACATAAAGCAGAGAAACATAGGACCTGCTAATATACGTAAACATTTGTTTATTGCACGTCATATCGTCATGGCAACGTTGAACAGCTTTATCACACATTGCAGATTTTCCCCATATCGTGCAGGTCTACAGTCTAAATCATTAATGGGGAGGAGGCTGGGGTTTGCTGTGGTTCTTGAAGCGCGTCATGCTGATGTTGTTGATGCTATGGGAAAACAAAGAGAACTTCACGGTTTCCTTTGATCGTCAGTCTGACTTTGCAGCCTGCGCCAACTGCACGCTTTTTTTTTGGATCAAGTCATCTTTAGTTGATGCCAAAATTTTATATTCTGCATTCTGGGATAGGTATCAATAATTGCTGAAAAAAACTGTCAGTAAGATGTAAAACCGCCATTGTCCTTCCATTCCTTAATATCACCCTGATATTCTTTCATTCCTGTCTTAGTAAATAGGCTTGTCAGAGCTATTGTGTGTCCTCATACTCAGACAACATTGTAATTATTCATTCAAGCTATACTTATTTCTTTTGAGACTGAACTGGTAAATGGACTGCTCCTCTAAGGGAAACCAACATGATCTGTCTCACATTCCTCTGATAACTTTGATTCATGAAAGTTTCATGAATGAGACGATGAGAAAATTCAAACACTGATGAAAAGAATTAAAAACCTGCTGTCAATCCGTATGTCAAGTCAAGTTTATTTCTGTAGCCTTAATGACATCAATGAATTAATCAAAAAATGTGTTCATAAAGCACCTTTCATACAAGCTGAATGCCAAACACGCAGGACTCTTTGACAGACAGGCATGTCTCAAATCACTTCCCAGAGCTGCAGCTGAGCTTAAGTGATAAATGCACTGATTTTACAGATCATCACATACACACTCTGTAAAACAGTTGTGGTATGTGGCATTGGAGGCTTGGAATTTATAACAGAGTAGTCTGAAAGACAAGGTTGTTTATTTGGCAGGGAGGCTTTGACAAAGTGATAAAAAAAAAAAAAAAAAGATGCTGCAGTATTAGAAAATGCTGAGTGATACCAAGAACAAACATTTACGAAATACATGCCAGTCCAGCTTCAATTTGGCCATTTATTAAAGACCCTCTTAGAAAAAAATCTAGTTTGTTACCTTGGTAACATGTCAGTAAGGTAGTTTTATGTGATGGAAGACATTACATGAGCAGAATAGGCATTCAGTGCGATGGTTGAGCATTTCCAACGTTAAACTAGATCACTGATGAAACACAGATTCAGGCTTCCAGGGTTTCATATGTAACAAACCTAAAGAACCAATCCAGGGTGTTGCTTTCTGTATCACAGTTCTTCTTCAGAGTCAGTTTCTAGTTCAAACATACATGACTGACTAGTCAATTAGTTGTAGGTGAGCTGGTGTGCTTATGTTGCACAGCGAGTGTCAGTGGGGTGAGTGAAGCAAGTTTAGAGACGTAACAGTATAGAGTTACATCTAAGGCAGGGAGGGATTATTTTAAGAGGAAAAAAAACATCTAAATATGACATTTTGATACACAGAGATATATTTTTAGGGGTTAAACAATGACTAGAAAAGCACTTTCAAAGAATATGTCACCTGAGAGTGAACCAACTTTATTGAAGTGCAATTTCAAAACAGGAAAAGCATCTTGCTAATAACTTAAACTACAATATGGAATAAACCCTGTTATCCTTCACTTGTGCTGAGCATGCAACAGTTGTACCATTAGGCGCAACACATCTCCCATCAAAATAAGTTTGACTTTGATGGAAATGGGTTATGTAACCTAACTGTATACATTTGGCAGCGTTTTCATAGAGCAATTAGAAGTAGAGGACTGGGTGTGTGTCAAGCTTACATCCTGCATCTGGCAGCGTTTCAAATCCTCCCACACTTGTTTTGCATTCTGCACTCTCCTGGCTCTGTTAATAATATGCAAAAACAGTTCCACATCCACAGCACATTCAGCAGACAGTACATTTCATCTCAGGTTGTCTGTGAATCTGCCGACAGTATATGTATAAGCAAACTCAGTATTGAATCAAAGGGTGTCTTCTCACTGGTCAAATGTCAATTCAGTTGACTCCTCTGAGGCAGAATTTGATTTTTTTTTTTCTCGCTGTTTTGCTTGTATCATGTTTGTGTTGTATTACTTGTCAACTTTGTCACCCTGCTGAAGGATGGATGATGCAGAGGCCTGCTTTATCCTGAGCAGTCGTAACGAGGTGGATCGCATGGCTGCGGTAAGACAAACAACAGCTAATGAACCCCGATGTGATTCTTCATCATTTACGAGGTGTCAGTCATTTTTGCTTTCTGTCATAAAGTTAATCACTCATTAATTAGAAAATGCAAAGCGTCTCTCTGTTTTCCCACAGGACCATCAGACCATCCTGAGAGCTTGGGCAGTGAAGGACTTCGCTCCAAACTGTCCTCTTTACGTCCAGATACTCAAACCTGAAAATAAGTTTCATGTTAAATTTGCAGGTGAGAGTTTCTGAGCTGTAAGTGAAACACCGGTTTGCTTTCTGACCATTAGTTAAATGAAAAAAAAAAAAAATCCATTCTTTCGGCAAGGGATTGCTTTAAACCAAATCAGAATTTTTCTTAGACTCTACGTTTCCTCTCAGCTGTACAGATCTACAGTGTCTTATGGATCTTTGTGTACCTATCCAGCTGCAGCTTTGCTGTTGGTTCACTCATGCTGCTTGCATAGCTGTTTTTGTTGGAAAAACCTAAAAACCTGCTGCACACCAGCTGCTCTTTATCAAACAGGAGACAGAAAAAAATAGTGATTAGTGAGCATAGGGGAGCTGGTATATAACATCCAGTATTGGTTGATATTTACTTTTTATCTGATCTGGCAATAGTTTGCTAACAAGTTTCCTGTATAAATATAAATTTTTATAAATAGAAATATGTATAAATTTGTTAAAGCTTGTTCAACTGCCTCCAATTGAACAAAAATATTACTTACTGCAGGTTAGAATATCCATCTAAAGGTGGGAGCTGATTAGTTTAGCTTAAGGGTTCCATATGGTGAAAATTTGCTTTGATTGTGTTTGGCATGTCTCTGAACTTGGAGGTGTCAAATATAAGCTGTGAGGATATAAAGATGCTTGTTACTGCCATTCCTCAAGCCCTCTTTCAACTAGATGGACTTCCAGTTGTACAAGCTAGTCAGGATTTTATTAAGTTTCTACATAGAAACCCAAAGAAACCAGCAGTTGACAAGCTAAAAAATTTGCGTAAAACCTGCCTCCTCACTGCCTTCTGTGGTGGCTGTGGCTCAGGGTCGGTCAACGATCGGAAGGTCAACAGTTCAATTCCGCATGGCTACAACCGTAGCCACCACCACCGGAATGAAGGTGTGTGAATGAATAATTGACAGTGTACAGCGTCTTTGAGTGTCTACAAAAGCACTATATAAATCTGATCAATTATTTATTATTCTACTTGTGAGATGAACCTTTTAGAATGAGCAGCTTCCTCTCAGTCCACCAGGACTGTTTGAGTGAACACAAGAGTCTCCATGCACTCCCAGCATCTAAGGAAGGGAAGGCCCAGCAAATAGTCTTTTATTATTGATGGCAATGCTCCCACAACAGGAGAAAAATTCTCAGTGTTAACAATTTGTGTAGCTAATGTGGCTAATGCTACCATTAGCTTTGATCATTTGCCAACAGGTCAGGAGTTCTGTTAAAAAGAAAATGTAATGCCAAGGAATAATCAGAGAGGATTGAAGCTTTCAGACCAATTTGAAACCAGGACTGGGTTGATTACTGTTTTTGTTGTTGTTGTTGTTTTTTATTGCCTGTTGTACTTTAGTGCAACTGAAACTTAAACCCTGTAACTTCTTTACAACTGTTCTCTTCTGCTCTCTGTGTGCATATATGCTGCATTTTAACACAGCAAAATTCAACTAAACCACTAAACTACTGATCTTGTAACCATAGTGTTGTCTGATAAACTCACTATACGATTGAGTTATAAAAATTCTGCCATAATTCCATGTAAATAATCATTCGTAGAAAAAGTTAGAGGTGACCAAAAGCAGCAGTCACACACACTAATTTAGCTGCCATGTGGTCGCCTGTTTTACTCCATGTTTTACTGCAACACATTCTGGGGACACGTGAGACTTTCATTAATTTGCTTGAAAGAAGCACAATATGGGATCTTTAAGGCAAACCAGATCAAGCAACCAAAATGTATAGAGCACGTTTAAATCAACACACATTGACCCAAAGTGCTTTCCAATAGAGAAATAAGATTACAAATGTACCTAACTTATGTATTAAGGCTAAACCATACAATATTACATGCTATTCAAATTTACCCGTCTAATGTCATCATTAAGTTGAATTCTGCTACTCTACAATAACATCGAGAGAAGCTTAATAAATCAATGATTCCCCTTCAAGGAGCACTTTGCAACGGTTGAGAGGAAACAACTTTATCCTAACAGGAAGAGACCCTCGGCAAAACCAGACTCAGGGAGCATAAAGCATCTTGAAAGCTCTCTTAGTTATTCATTATATCTTGTTTGTTTGATCCGTACAAAGCCAAAAAATGTTTAAATGACAATGAAAATTATGGTTTTACAGGGGGTTAAGTGCTGTAATTATTTCTCTCTAGGCTTCATGGCTTTCTTGTTGCCAAGCAACCAACAAAGACTTGATGAAATTTCTGCGATAGACTGTTGGTCACCAAGAAATGGTTACAGCATGTAGAAAATACGAATGAGAGAAATTAAATATAACCTATTATTTAGCAAGATTTAGACGTGTTAGATCCTTTTTTTTTTTTTTACATGGAATGAAGCTAAGATATGTCTACATAATAAGAACATAAACCTGATTGATCCTTCAGGAAGCCAACTGACTCTTCGTTCTAGTACGGCCTCGGTTATAATATAACAAGAAAAGACACTAAAAAGCAGAACATGTGGGCGTACAAATATAAGAAAATGGACATAAAATGAGCAATAAAAGTATTAAAGGCTAATTAGTAAAATAATGCAACCATTAAGAATAAATAGAGCAATTAGGATTCAACCCTCTGAACTCGGAGCAGTTTTTGGGCTTTTTTTTTTTTTTGCTCCTGTTTTCTTTTTTTCATTTCACACAATATAAATTCCTGCATGGGCTGCAAGGTTGAGCAGTGGTTAGCACTGTTGCCTCGCAGCAAGAAGGTCGCCGGTTTGTGTCCCAGTGAGGACACCCGGGATCTTTCTGCGTGGAGTTTGCATGTTCTCCTCGTGCAGCGTGGGTTCTCTCTGGCTTCCTCCCACACAATCCAAAAACATGTTGAGGTTAATTGGTGATTCTAAATTGTCCGTAGGTGTGAAAGTGAGTGTGCTTGGTTGTTTGTCTCTAAGTGTAGCCCTGTGATAGACTGGTGACCTGTCCAGGGTGTCAGCTGGGATAGACTCCAGCTCTCCCACGACCCCAGTGAGGATTAAGCGGTGTATAGATAATGGATGGATGGAAATTCCTGCATCTCTACTGAAACAGCGCAACCATGGCTAGAAGTAGAGAACTCAAAAATGACCAATGTGCAGCATTACACAGTTATACTGAAACCAGTAAAGACTGAAGAAATAAAATTTGTTTGATTATTTATTGTACAAAAATCTTAAAAACTTTGCTCAGTAAACACAACATTATCCAAGTGCAGACAGTTTGTACAGGAAAAACAAACAGTGGCTCTAAATGCTGAAGATTTTGAACTATTTACATTTTTAATTTGTCTTCATATTGTCTCCTATCTGCGCTGTATAGACACTGCCTGCAGTTCAGTTCAAAGTCCCTGTGTTTTTGTCATGACTGCTGGTTGTGACTGAGTCACTAATGACAGATTTTTTGAATTTATTTTTGTTTTTTTCCAGATTCTCGTTCAAGCATATGTTTTTTGGTGTGTTGAATATTTAAATGACACTGTAGAATCAAGTAATCTTGATGAAACATCCTGATTTTACGCTTAGATTTGGTTTTCCAACAGAATGGTACCTCACAGATGATCAGTTCATGAACAATCTAAAAGTGGAAAATCTGGGGATTCTTTACAGTTTCAGGCTCTGATAAATTGTGCAATTTTGACTATTTTTAAAAGATAACATGCCTTGTAGACCTGCTGTTGTGTTTGGGTATTCAGACAGTTAAGACAACGTGAATCAACAAAAACAAGGATAACTGGAAGTAAGCTTAGATGAATTTAGTATGAATCAAGCCTTAGATTGTTTTTCATGTTAATCCAGGTCTCTAAATTCAGGCATACAGTATACGTCTCATACTGTATTTCAACCCATGTACTTCAACATGTTGAACAATGTTCTAAAGCATATAAACCAATAATTTAACTCTCACTTCTTGGCCAGCTCCACTGATCAGTTCATTTGTTCCTTTTCAGATCATGTCGTGTGCGAGGAGGAGTTCAAGTACGCCATGTTGGCTCTCAACTGCGTGTGTCCTGCCACCTCCACCTTGGTCACGCTCCTCGTACACACCTCCCGTGGACGGTCAGTCCTCTTTCACAACCTCCTCGGGTTATTTAATTCTCCCTAGCTTGACTGCAAAGTTCACATATCTTCACATGTTCGTGTCCGCTGATGCATAAATAGGATCCATGGGACTGGCACAGAGAAGCGAGAAGGCCACAGCAAAGACAAAAGTCTTGGTTCATTGTGCATCACAGTCGGAAGTAAAGAGAGTGCAGCGAAAGAGAGAACAGGTGGCAGCTGCATTGATTTTTTTTAGCATGTGTCCTCTGTAACACAGGATGAATAGCTCTCCGGCGGAAAACGATTTCTCACAGCATGCAAACAGATCATTTTAAAAAGCTGATTTCAATGGCTGAGAGAAACTGCATTCAAGAAGAGTCGGTGGGTTTTACTGTGTTCCTGACAACTCCTCAGAATGTGAGGCTTTGTGTCTTTCTTTTTTTTGAATTTCTGAAATTGCACATGTTAGCCACAAAGGTGCACTGTGCAGAATGTGAGTCTGTATGTTTGCACTGCATGTGTGGGCGACTTTGAAGTTGGTTTTAGAGACATGCAGCTCATCAGGGATGTTCACTGGAAAATAAGTTTAAAAGAGAGAAGGAGATACAAATACTGTTGAGAATGTTGTTTTGCCTTTTACACAGAGTTATGAAACTCAGAGTGTGAAATCCAATTTATAAGTCATCTTATATAAATATTAATAAGTACCAAGATGCAAGTATGTAAACTGCTACCTTCGGGTTGTTCTGAGCATCTCTTGTCGCCCATTAAACTCCGTCAAAGTGCCTGAGCAATTACTCTAATTACCGGAAGTCATTACAAAGGGCAGATTAGAGCCAAACCGACTGGCTGACACAGATGGATCAAGCTGTCTGCTGTCACCGGGACACCCAGTGCTGCCCCGAGGGTCCTGAGGGATGCGTGGAGAGGAGATGGAGAGTTTTCCTTTTGCAAATGATAATTATGATTGATCGCAAGTACTGGGGATGAAGACAAAAGCTCAGGGCGTTTGTCAAGACTGCATGTATATTAGCATGTGTATGAAATTTAAGAGGTACCGGGTTTACTGATCCTTTTGTGTTTTCTCTGATTGTAAGCAGAGAGGGACAGCAGTCTCCGGAGCAGTGGCAGAGGATGTATGGATGTTGCTCTGGCAACGAGGTCTACCACATCCGACTGTGTGACAGCAAGTTCTTTGGAGAGTATAATGGCAAAAGCTTCACATACGCCTCCTTTCATGCTCACAAGAAGTGAGTTGACATGTAAGCTAAAGCATCTTCGTCAGATGCTGACAAGTTGAAAGTATATTCCAACGTTTTGCAGGGCTTTTACATACTTTGTTCTGTCTGTTTGACCTGGTTTCATCTTGTGTTAGTGCTGCTAGTTTGTCTTGTACTGGTTTGACATGAATTTCAAACAGAAAAACATCAAACTTTTAGAAAAAGAAATCTTCCAGCTTTTGATTATTGCAGGGTTTGTTTGTTTTTTACTGCTAAAAGTGATGCCATGTGTGTTGCAGACTACAAAAAAAATTACTTGTTTGAAGGAACAATTACACATTTTAGAACTACTTCTTTTTGGTTTCTAACTAAAGGTTAGATGAGAACACTGATCCCATTCTTACATCTATCCAAAGTTAAAGACACAAACACTGGAAACAGGAGGAAACAGCAAAGACTAACCTGGCTCTATCCGAGGGTGACAACATGCTCCTACCAGAACCTCTAAAACGTACTAATTAACACATTTTACCTCAAGGTGAAAAACACAAGTTGTGAGGACTGTTTTAATATTGTGGGAAATGTACTTATCCACTGTCTTACTGACAGCTAGATGAGAAGATCAACACACTCTATGTTCATGTTAAAGTTACAGGGAGGTTACAGGGATTATGTGTTGGAGTTAACCAGGGTTACATAAACATTTTTCAGGGGTGTCTTGCATTGAAAGATCTTTAGGGTGCAAGTGCAGTTTTACAATCCCACTTACTATATAAATTTAAATGAATAATACATGTTTGCTTGCAACATGGACAGAGGATTTATTTGCTCTCTAAACTAAATTCTGTGTAACCTGCACACACACTTGCTGAATTAGTTTAAAGTGAGTCCACTGCCATAAAATAGTTAACCAAAAGTGCATGAACATAAAACCAACAAACAGATAAATAACATATGGATGATAACTTAAGAGCTTGTTTTCACACACGTAAATTCTGTACCATTCACTGCTGCATTTATTAACAATAATAAACAAGAAAATGTAACTAAAAGGCTTTTTTTCTGAGGGGTAATAACAGGTCAGCAAACCAAAAATGAATAACTTATAATAACCGCAAAAGTTATGCTAATGTTAAAAGCCTGCTGGTTAACCACTGATGCTGAAGTCACTTTAAACAGGGAAATTCTGAAGCTTTTAGTCATTTACAGTTATGCTCACATTGAATCGATTTAAAACGTGATGGTATCAGATGCTATCAAGACGGTGACAGGGAGAACGGTATTCATTTGTAGAACCATTGACACGACAGTTTAAACCCTGGATTAGATGCGTAACCTTTGCAATTTGCTAACTGAACTGTTTCAAATCCTGATTTCAATTTATAATTGATTAGCTGATTAATCCTACCTCTAACTGCCGTAGCGCCACAGTTAGCGACGACTGTGCATGACTTCCACAGCTGCTGCAGAACAGAAGGAACCAAATATCCTCATCAGAGTCGGTCTGTGTGCAGCATGCCGACTTAGATGTAAGCATAAAAGTACAGAAATGTGCCTTTGGTTTGTAAATCTTATCATTAAACCTAAAAACATTAAAACGTTTACTTTACAATTGCTATAGCTATCTAATCTAAATAATGTCAGAGGGCTCATGTCCCCTCAAGCTGTCTGGGTACACCACCTCTGAATGTGTTAATAAGTCAACTTCAAAGGTGCTGTGAAGAGCCAGGCAGCTGTTTTGTCCTGTTCCGAGTCAGTAAGGTCAAGAAAACAAACAAAAAGAGAATACATTTAAAATTGAAATACATTTATTTGAATTTCAATCTAATGATACAGGCCTGTTGCCAGATATATGCCACAGGTGTTGCAGGCTAAGTGCAGGTTTGTGATCTGCAGGTACGGCGTGTGTCTGATCGGCATAAAGAGGGAGGACAACAAGAGCATCCTGCTGAACCCTGGTCCACGTCACATCATGGCCTCCTCAGACACCTGCTACTACATCAACATCACCAAGGAGGAGAACTCAGCCTTCATCTTCAACCAGGAGGAGAGGAAGGGCCGTCCTGTCGGGGGGCTCCTGGACGGACCCTGTCAGCTTCCTGTGCACAGCATCATCGCCAGCATGGGTGAGAAAGGAATCAGACTGTGATAAACTGTTGAAAGAAACACCTGTGACAGGGATTGATGGATTTTGTGAAATTATCTGTGAATCAATGTCGTTACAGGCACTGTTGCCATGGATCTTCAGAATACGAGTCCACCTGACTCCTCAGGTGGTAAGCTGATCCCTCCTACAGTAAATGGAACAGGAGGCCGCCGGCCGAGCATCGCTCCGGTCCAGGAAATCGCCGACTCTGCCTCGATCCTGCCGTGTGACCTGCTTAGTGACCAATCGGAAGATGACTCTGTCTTCACAGATGAGAAAGGCCACCCATCTACTGAGTAAGGATTCCGCCACCAAACCTTAAAACCTTGTTACAAGTACCACAGTTCAACAAACACCTTTATGATAGACGTATATAAGAGACAAGACGAGACTTGTTGTAGAAGTGAGATGTCGTGTTGTGAAACCACGTCAGTAGATTCTTATAGATTCTGTTTCCATCTGTGGCGTCAATTTTAAGGTATTTGCTTCACTTGTACTCCTCTGATTTACTTTCTATTACTTTATATCTCTATTCCACTACTTTAAAGCTTGGAATATTGCACATTTTGCTACACAGCGTTCATCTAAAGCTATTATTTTTAGGCATTTGGCCTTTATTAGGCAGCACAATGGAGACAGACAGGAAATAAAGGGACATGCAGCAAAGATGTGGCCAGCTGGGAGCTGAACTCAGCTGCTGAGGACATTTCAGGCCATGTGGTTTGCACCTGAACCAGTCGGACGTTGTGTCATCTTACCTTGTATTTATTTGACAGCTGAAGCTTACTAGCTGTTCTGTGATTAAAGATTTTAAATACAAAACATATGATTAGCTTATAAATTAACACTCAGTTTCCATTAATGCTGTTTCATCTCAGGTTGAGCTGCACACCTTTAACATCTGACACTGATGTTTATTCCAACTAAGTCTACTTTCTTTACCAATATGTGGTGACTTTACTAAATATTAGGCCCAAAAAACAAAAGGCAAAGTATTTCACTCTCTTGTTAGATCTATTTACTAGTAACTACAAATTTATGCAGCACGCAACTGAACCTGAATGCACTGTGTGTGGATGACATGAATAAATGAGATGAAATTATCGAAAAACATACTGAAGTCTTTTTTAGAACAAGAGAGTACAACGAGAGAACCGGAGATGAATACGGGATGTTTTAATGGAATGTGTCATTCATGCTTTTTTTTTTTTGCTTTTGTTGCCAGGTATGTGAAAGGTTATCCCCCTAACTCTCCGTACATTGGGAGCTCGCCCACTTTGTGCCATCTGTTGGCTGAAAAAGCCCCGTTTTGCTGCCTACGACTGGACCAGGTGGGCAGTGGCTGTTCCTTCAACTTAGTCACTCCGTTACTTACTGCCTCCATCATTCCCTCTCTCTCCGCTTTCTGTCCTTCACTCTATAAAAGCAAACCTAAAATACCTGTCTGTTTTTTTTTTTTTTTTATTTGCTCCCTGTGCAGGGGTGCAGGCACAACAGCTTTGAGGATGCCAAGGCTTACGGTTTTAAAAACAAGCTCATCATTGTGTCGGCTGAGACAGCAGGGAATGGTCTCTATAACTTCATAGTGCCTCTAAGAGCTTATTACAGACCCAGGAAAGAGCTCAACCCTATTGTCTTGCTGCTGGATAACCCGTGAGTTTAACACACACACACACACACACACACACACACACACACACACACACACATCCCTCCTTTCTTCTGCCTTCACTCTGTCTTTCACCATGTCATGCTGGGAAACATTATGTATGTTAAAAGCTCGCGTCAGCTGAGCACTTAGGACAAGGCTGTGGAGGTGGGACTCCTTTGTCAGTCCTCATGCTCAGTTAGTGCTGCTGCTCGCAGTGACGGTGTGTTTTGAGCGACAAAGAAAAATAAAAATGCCGCTCTCTGTACCTCCAGACGGTCACCATGGTAACTCACTTTGCCTTGAACCTGAATGATATATATTGCTACGAGGGGAGAAAAAGATGGAGAAAATAATTTCTTTGGAGAGCACCACGCAGGCTTTCATCGACAGCCCTGATGTGTCCCTTTTCAGCCCCCACATGCCGGCTCTCAGGACTCTCACAGAAACGCACGCATAACAATAAACTCTCCCTCCGTGCGCTCGCTTTCTCGCTCCCTTCCTATCGCCGTCGCACACACACACACACACACAAATACAAACACCCACGCACTTGGATACGCAATTCAAGCACTTACGACAGCCTTGGGTCTCTAGTCAGCAGGACTGGGCAGATGTATAAAGTAATGTTCTGTCAGGGGTGGTGGTGGTGGAGGACAGGCGGTAATAAAGCGACTGAAGCTCTCGGAGTGCGTTCAGCACCAGATGGACTCATCCCTCCGCCTAAAGACTCTCTAACTGGGGAGTTTAAGCCACCGCAGGGATTCCTAAGGGGGTTGCACTTAGCATTGCACATCATCACATAGGAAAACACTCATCCCTAAAGAAGCTCTAAAGTAGCTACACTGTAAAAGAATAAATAAATAAAAATCTAAATTTTTATGGAAAATAACATTTTACAGTAGTTTTTAGATTTTTCTCAAATGTACAGAAAAGTCTGTCAAATTACAAACACTACATTTAAATTAACGACAAAAGACATTTTAAGTGTTACGCCAATAATACCAAATTGCGTTTCTTTTTCTTTTTGAAAATTGTCTATATTATTTAAACAGTATTTTTTTTCAGCTGTCTTAAATTACATACAAATGTACATATAATAGCAGTCATTAAATATGTAGCTCTTTATATAAAGGTTTATACCATTACTATCAGTATACAGTTATTTCTTATAATTTCAAGGTAAATCTTATTAGTTTTATACTTATGTGTACTTTTATTCTGTAATTTAGGATACAAATTAGGGACCCATATTTCATTATATTCAACATAATGCTTTTGGGTTTTACATGGTTTTTGGGTGGTACTTTGGGGTTTTATTGTCTTAACGCTCCGTACCTGAGCAGGTGTGAATAAAAGACCTGCATGGGAAGTCTTGAAATGTCACCACTCTCCTGCTGCTGGAGCTCAACATGCTCTTCTGGCTGCTTTTATTTTTTGCACTTTGTCATTTCTGATATTTACTTAAGTTACACATTTCTTTAAAAATTAAACTTACTTTTATAAAATCTTGTGTCAGTGTTACATCCCATGAGCTCAGTCATTACATAGAGGAAGGCCATTTTTAGTTTTTGGTTCCTCTTGGGGGGCTCTACAGAACTACTTATGCAGATTTGTTTGATATAGTAAATTTTCATTTGAATAAAATAAAAGTATTTTGGAATCAATAGTAGTGTGTACTGTATTTGTTTGCCAAAATAAGACTGGTATTTAGCAATCTGGAGGATGTGCTATCACTTCAGTGAAGGTGTTTGATTGTAAGAATTTAGGAAAAGTCTGTAAACAACAGTGTTTTACAACAAAACACATAATGAAACTCTGTGAATTTACTGTTTTTGCCAGGAATATCCTGATCAAGCTATTTTTTTTAACCTGGGATCCAATCTGAGCCATTTAAATACTTAGCATCTGCCAGTACTGAGTTTTAATCCGACACCATTTTCCTTGATAATACACAGACTGCTTCAAGTATATTAAAGTTATTGAACTCAATCCAGTGTATATGTTTGACAACTGAATAGCTCTGCTATGCATAAAGAAAATGCATTTCTGCATCCAAACTGTCCTGTAGTGTTACTTGGTGGCCAAGAACTTTGTGTAAAACTCTGGTAGTGCACTGCCTGAAGTGTAGTGAGAAGAGGTTTACTGTGTACTGTGGCTCCACAAGCTCCAAAAGAGGGTGACAACCTGTATTTTCTGAATGCATGTCGGAAAATGTATTGTAGATTAGTTGTAGTACCTGGCTCTTACACCAGTTGGAACTTCTTACTGTGTAATACTGAAGTAACTACAGGAGGTGGTCTATGGGCAGTTCTGTGTTGGCAAGTAGAGAGTATTGTTGGGGTTTAGCGAGCAACAGGCCACCATGACAAAGACTTGTGTGATACTTAACGCTCTCCGGTCAGAGCTCAGGAGTTTAAGACAAGCTTAGATCAACCAGCTCAGTGTTCTGATGTCTGAGTGGTGTGTGTAACATTACTGCCTAAGTAGCCTAAATAATGTGACCAATAATCAAACCACCAAAGCAGCACAGCACAGATGTCCACTGTGCTCATTTGTAGTTTGTAACAAATAGGTTATTCATTCATAACGCATCTGATTATAATCTATTGATTAAGAATTTACAACAAAACTGCCTTGATTACCCAAATCCCAATCTTTGAAATCGGATCGGGACACCTGTAGTTTTCTCACTTTATTTGAAATAGGATGTTTTTACTTTACATTTTGTGTTTGGCAGCAGTTGCTCCAGTCATTTGACC